ACTCAACACTGCTGTGGCCCTGCCAGGACTCTCAGTGCAGGTCCCTGCCCCCATGTTTGCACAGCTGTGCATGAATTTGGCATTCTCACTGCAGGCATCTGGCGACCCAGCTGGTGTTGTCGTCCATGTCCTGCGGTACAGCACCAGCTTGCGTGGGAACTGCTGGGACACCCTGTTTACCCACGTCTGCAGCATCACCCAGACTGGGCTTCTGCAAGGAGTCTATATTTGGTGCTGTGGGAGCCTGGAGACCCGCCTGGGGTTTCTGGAAATGGGTCACACTATTGAGCATAGGCTTCAGCACACAGAGGGCCCGGGGGAGCCTCACGGAGCATCTTCCTTGTAAACTGTGACATCTTTGGGGAACTAGGACATGGTGTCCTGTCTCTCAAAGCTGTGTCCTTCAACACCTCCACCTCTGCAGACAGGTCTTGGGACCCCTTGAGGTCTTAGACCTCTGCTTTCCTGGGGTCTTTGGGAAGACAGCTTAGTTTGATTTGTTTTGCTGAAGAATGCTAGTCATGGGCAGGCACGATGGCATGGCTCAGTGGGCAAAGGCACTTGCCACCAAGCCTGGAGGCCCGAGTTCATTCCCCATCCTCCGAGCTACACACAAATAAGTATAGTGAGAAAAATAATTTACTCTTAGAATCACTGTAAGATGGCACATGTGTCCCAGCAGGGAAGACAGGATGACCTTTTGGAATGAGCAGCTCCCACTGCTGGGCACTTCTTGAAATGCCATGTTGAAGGCTGAGGATGTCGCTCAGTGGGTGGTCTGTTCGCCTGGCATACACGAAACCCTGGGTCCGATATCTAGTGCCACATAAACCAAACATGGTGGAATGCATCTGCAATCCGTGCATTCAGGAGGTGCAGGCTGGAGGATAGGGAGCTCAAGGTCATAATGAGGTCAAGGTCAGCCTGGGCTGGTCAGAGTCTGTTTGGGGGGGGGGGGGTGCTGAGCAGACCAGAGTTCAATTCCCGGCATCCACATAGGGCAGCTCACAACTGCCTGTAACTCTGGCCTCTGCAGGCACCCACATGTGTACATACACACATATACAAAATGAAAAGGGGGTTCCTGTGGACCCGTCCTTCCCACCCACTTTCTGAGAGCATCCGGTGCTGTGGTCCCTCACCCTTTCCGTCTTCTCAGCCTTCCAGTGCCAGGGCAGGAGACAGCCGTCTGTGTGTGAACAGTGGCAGAAGCGCAGCAGCGCAGGCTGAAGGCGAGACGTTCACTTTCTGGAGGCATAACCTGATTTCAGATGTTGCTCTGACCACAGTGAGCCCCTGGGGCCTGCACAGGCTTGCCCTAATTTCATCTATCCAAGATGCAGCCCTTCCTGGTGCTCAAGGGACCGGTGTCCTCAGACACACCAAGGCCCTTCCCAACATGGCATATGGTCTCCCGGTACCCTTGACCATGAAGTCTCCAAAATCCAAGCATTTCTATTTAAGAAACTTCAAAGGCAGACTTACTAGCGTCTTCCGGGAAGGGCTACTGAGAACAAACTACAGGAGCCCAGAGGGCTCAAGACTTCCTATTTCTACAGGACACTGTAGGTAAAGCCTGTCCTGTGTGTGGAGTTTCTAGCAGTTGCCCTGGATTGAACTGAATAAATTGATACCGCTTTTCAAAATTCTGTGCTTTTGAGAAATGTGTGCCAAGGTTCAGGTGCTCCAGCCCAGCCCCGTACCCACTGCACTGCCGCCCCTCAGTCCTGGCATGAGAGCGTCTTACTTGGAGTCTGTGCACCGCCTTCCATTGCTGCATTGACCTCCGGGCAGAGTGAGCGTGGGACCTTCTAGGATGGGCGGGCTGCTGTCAGCGTGTGAACAGAGAAGGGACCTTAAAAGAGAGAGGTAGGGTAGGTACCCCGCCAGTGGAGGAGTTTGGACTGGGAGGTGATGGTTAAGGAGAAAGGGCCTGCCATAAAGCAGCTCAAAAGGGTACAGGCCAGTAGGAGAACGTGGGGTGGCCCTGAGGCAAGTAAGGGCAATGGGGATAAGGGAGGGCCAAGATAACCTGAGTTCAATGGAGAGCTTGGTTAGTTGTTGTTTGATGAGTCCATTGGCTCTCTCTACCTTTACCAAGGATTGTGGATGTTAGAGGGTGTGGAATTTCCAGATGTTGAGAGCTTCTGACAAGAACTCCATGACCCTGAGCCACCACATCTGCTGTTTCCCTGGAGACCGGAAACTCTTCTATCCATCCTGTAAAAGTGTCCACAAGTGTTAAGAGATAATAGAGTTTTTTATGAGTAGGCATATGGGTGAAATGAACCTGCCAGTCTTCGCCCGGTTGGTATAGAGACTGAAGTATGTGGAGAGCCCCTTGTGGGTTGGCCTGGGCACACGTCTGGCAGGAGGAATGAACCTGTAAAATAGAATCTCCAAGATGGGTGGGGTTAAAAAGAGGCTCCAAGAAGCGGAACAAAGCTTTGGGGAAGCGGCTAAGGATATCTCCACTCAGTAAAGGTGCTGGGCAAGCAGGTATCACTAAGAATGAGAAAAAATTGTCCTGCAAGAATGCAGGGCAGTGGCAAAGTTTTAAGTGGGGAGGAATGGGTCCCGTCTACCCCCATAACTGAAATTGTTGAGGGGAACATAAGGCCCGAGTGAGAATAAAAGAAATGGACTTACCCGCTACTTGCAGCTTTACCCTAGGCTCGGATAGGGATAAACCAAGTCTGGGCAGCGTCAATCCTCTGCAAGGCTGAGAAGTTCGAAGGCTGGCACAGTTTCACTTGCTGGTGGTGATGCTGAACCTCCGTGGCATGGCATAGACAAGCCCATATGGGGGCACTGTGATTTCCAGTGTCCAGGTTGCTGGCAGATAGGGCGTAACCTTGGAGGCGTAGTGCAATATCGTGCCACGTGACCATTTAGGCCACACTTGAAACAGCTTGCCTGTGAGGTTGGCTTAGGCTGGGCTCTAGCAGGGTAAAGCCTGGAAGTAAAGACTGGCCAGCCAACAAAGGCACGGTTTGCCAGCCCTGAGCAGGTCAACACTGAAAAGAAAAGCCGGGTCTCACTGTGTCACTCAGGCTGGCCTTGAGTTCACCATGTGACCCAGGCTGGCTTGGAAGTCATTCTTTCTGCTTCTGCCTCCCAAGTACTGGGATCATTGTGTGTCTCCTCACCCCTGGTAGCCAGGCCTTCTTACTCTGCCAGCAGAGCAGACGCTTCCAAGTTAGTATGACGTGCACACATGGGCTCTCCTTGTTCAAGGTTCAGAGTATCAGAACAGGTGACCCAGGCCACCCAACCTGGACCAGAAAGCTTGAGAAATCTTGAAGGGACACGTAGGTGATGGCTTAAGGTACTAGGAAGCACAAGTCACTCTGTGGTGGCTGATGGAGACTCGCCTTCCTGTAGCACATAGGACCATAGTGCCTCAGAGCCATCTGTGATCTAGCACACAGCCTGCTGTGACAGCCATGCTGGAGGAGTGAAGTGGAAGATGGCAATGCTTAGGCCCAGATTAGCCTGTGAGGTGCGATCCTCCTTCCTCCAGAAGGTCTGTCACAGCCTCTAGTCTATCCAAGCAGGTGTTTCCTAAGGTAAGTTGTTTCATTGCCAGAAGGGGACCTTCCCAGTGTTGAAAAGCACCAGGCAGGGCTGGGGAGAACCGTTCTATTACATATGCAGCAAGGGGCCACACGTGCAATAACTCACTCAAGCCTCCATCCTCAGGGTCACCACATACAAGACAAGGAGTCTTTTATAGCTCAGCTACCCTCCCAGCCCCTCACTGGGGGATTCTAGACAGATACTCTACCACTGAGGCACACCCCAGCCCCTCACTGAGAGATTCTAGGCAGGGGCTCTACCACTGAGTCACACCCCAGCCCCTCACTGGGGGATTCTAGGCAGGTGCTCTACCACTGAACCATGCCCCAGCCCCTCACTGAGGGATTCTAGGCAGGGGCTCTACCACTGGGCTTCACTCCCAACTCCCTCATCATACTCACATAAGAGGATGCAGGGCAGCAGTCATGGTTGTCTGGAAGCCTGTTTACTCTGTTGGGCCCTAGGCTCACTGTATCAGAAGGGAACCATGCTGCCTGTCACAGGGCCTTTTTAGGGCTTTCTTCAGTCCTGGCACACACTTCCTAGATAGTCCCAGACTCTCAGCTAGTTCTGAGAGGTATCAGAAAGAACAGACCTGTTGGGACTGGAGGGATGGTTCTGTGGTTAAGCACATTGGCTGCCCTTCCAGAGGAGACAGGGTTTGATTCCCAGCACCCACAAGGAAGCTCACAAATTTCTCTAACTCCAAGTTCACGGAATCCAATGCCCTCTTCTGGACTCTGTGGGTACTGCACAATATGGTGCACAGACAATATATGCATGCAAAACACACAATAAAATGTTAATTTCCCAAATAAAAGTAAGAAATTAAAAGAGGCTGGGAAGTTGAGCTTAGTCAGTGAATAACTTGGCCTGCAACCATGAAGACATGATTTCAATCCCCAAAGTCCACAGAGCTGGATATGGGGCAGGTGTAACTCCAGAGCTAGTGCCGAGGAGAAAGGCAGGTTTCTGTGCCCAGTGCCAGCCAGCTCAGCCTCCTTGGAGAGTTCCAGGCAAATGAGAGACCCTGTTTTACAAATAAAATGCATGGCACCTACAACAGTAGCTGAGGGGCTACTGGCATGGCTCAGATGGTAAAGGTCTTTGCTGCCAAGGTTAATGTCAAGCCCCAGAACCAATACAAGGAAAGGAGAAAACTGATTCCCTTCAATCATTCTCTGATCTTACACATCCCACATACACCAAGATAAACAGATGAATGTAGCTGGGCAGTAGTGGCACACACCTCTAATCCCAGCACTCGGGAGGCAGAGGCAGGTGGATCTCTGAGAGCTCGAGGCCAGCTTGGTCTACAGAGTGACTTTCAGGACAGCCACGGCTACACAGAGAAACCCTGTCTTAAATCAAAAACAAAGTAACTGCGACTCCTTCACACAGAGATGGGAAAAGGAGAAAACCATTTCACATGGCAGCAAGTTTTTCTGTTTTCTCTTTTATTATAAAGTTTATTAGGGGGCAGAGTGTGTGGAGGCCAGAGGAGGACTCCAGGAGTTGGTTCAGTCCCTGACCACATGGATTCCAAAGACAACTCAGGCAGTCAGGCTTGGTGTTGCGCCTTTACCCACGGAGCCATCTTGCTTCTCCCAGATACTGAGGTTTTAAAAGACCGAATCCCTTCAAACTGTGACAAATTACATAACCCAAAGAGCAGCCAAGATCCAGGTCCATCAGAACCAGCTCCAGACAGGGAATGTGATGTTCATGACATCTGGAGTTCAAAGCCAGGCTACACAGTGTCCAGGCCTGCCTGGTCCACATGAGACCCTGTCTCAAAAAACCCAACAGGGTAGGGGTCTAGCTTTGTTGGCAGAGCGCTTGCTTAACAAGCAGCAAGCCCTGGGTTCTAGCCCAGTACCTAAAAAAAAAAACAAAACAAAACTGAGCGTGGGGGTGCACACTGGCAATCCCAGCATTCAGGAGGTAGAGGCAGATGATCAGAAGTTCAAAGTCATCCTTGGCTATAAAGGGAGTTTGAGGCCAGTCTAGGTCAGAGACCCTGTTCAAAAAGAAGAGAAACCAAGCAACCATGATAAAGCCAGGCCTGACAGTGCACACCAGTAATCCAGGCACTTAGGAAGTGGCGGCAGAAGGATCTTCCTTGGCTACAGAATCCATTTGAAGGCAGCCTAGGCTACATAAGACCTTGTCTCCAAAAAAAAAAAAGACTCTAATGAGCTGTGGAGAGAGCTCAGTGTTCGCTCCCTTAATGGTTACGCTGGAGCGTGTTTCCAGCCAGCCCGGTGCCAGCTGTTGTGTCCATGCTTCCCCAGGGATGTGCTCACACGGGTCTTCCTTGGAAGGAAAGTGCAGCCTGCAGCAGCTCGTGCCCCAGTTCTTGCTGTTTCCCCCCAGGCAGGAACTCGCTGGCCAGCTCTCTGAAGGTGGCACAGATACGGCGAGCCTTGATGTGTCTGCGGTGGATGGCATGTGCCCACTGGTGCCGTGCAGCCCCTGTGAGCACCAGCAGAGAGCGGCAGGGCACAGAGATGGCTACCTCCACCTCCTGGCAGGGGACAGACCGGCTAGAGGCCACGACGCTGCCCTCAGGAGCATCAGGTCCGATGGAGGGGGCCGAGTGGAGCAGCAGGCTGCCAGGGGCTTCACAGGACATGGACACCACGGTGGCTGACAGGAGGTTGAGGCTTACCAGCCGCTCGCCCCACAGCCAGGCATCATCCAGGTGGGGGTCGATGGCCGAGCCCCGCTCTGGGTTGTAGTCCAGATTACACTGTTCTACAGGCTGGAAGTCCTCCAGTCCCTGGTAGAGGCCCATTCTCTGGACCACCTTCTGGCTGAAGCTGGGGAGACCCTGGAAGCCAGCCATCTTCAGCTTCTGCTTCCGAAAATTGACCTTCGGGCCGTAGTCCTGGAGCAGAGACAGGAAGGAGCAGAGGAGGGGCTCATCTGAGGAAATGGCAACCACAAGCTGGGCGAGACTGGTGCATGCAAGCAATCCCAGCACCCTGGGAGCTCAGGCAGGGGAACTGCCTGCAGTTCAAGGCCAGCTGGGCTAGAGCGTGAGACCCTGTCTTGAAGGGGAAGCCATGCCAGTGTAGTAGTGCCTACCACCAGTACAGCGTGCACTTGTGGAGCGGAGGCAGGAGGACCAGAAGCTCACCCACATGGCAAGAGGGTTCTATGAGACCGTGTGGCGGGGGGCTTCATGGAGGGAGAAGGGACAGGTACAATACAAGGTGGGGGTGGATAAGAGAACAAGGTCCCCATGGAAGCCGTACAGTTTGTCCTGAAGGTCAGGGGCAGAGTGGGTGGCTGGGGTGGTCCCAGCTCAGGAGAAACGTGAAGGGAACTCTAATTGGCTGATGTCCCCAGAACTCTAACCAAACACTCCGATGCCAGGAACAAAGGCTGAAGGGGCACCATTGAAACAGCTACAGGAGCTGAGTAAATGGTGGAAGCTGGGTGACGGGGAGCTAATGAGGAAGAGGAGAAACAGGAGGAGGGGTAGCACTGTCCCTAAGGGCCTATCAGGAGTCCAGACATAGAGTGAGTGAGGGGATAAGGGATGGGATGGGATGGATGGTGCCTGGAGCCACGCAGGACCGTAATTACCATCATCGCTCCCAACCAATGGGACAGCAGCATAGACAGCGGCGGCCCTGCTTGATGAGGAAGCCCACGCCCCCTGTGACTGGCCACCCACTCCCTACAGAAGATCCCTAGGGTGCGGCTACAGGAGATAACCAGGGGCCCCAGCAAAGGGACTGCCCCTTGGTTCAGCTAGGGCCACCATACCTGTTTCCTCCGCCCAGACTGAGAGAGCTTCCAGGGGTCACTGTCCATCAGCCGCACCATCTCAGCCTCTTCCTCTGGGGTCACAAAGTCCTCTATCAGCGTCACACCCGGGAACGGGAAGGCCCAACCTTCAAAGTCAGAGTCCTGGGGCCCCATGGCCCAGCCTGTGTCCGGGCAGTAAAGGAAATGGTATTTTTTCTGTAAACAACGGAGATAGGAGGGAGTGAAGATGGCTCAGCCGGCCAAGTGCTTTCCTTGCAAGCACCAGGACCTGAGTTCAGTCCCCCAAAAACAACATGTAAAAAGCTAGGTGCGATCATGCATGCTTGAATCCCAGGCAGAGATGAGAAGATCAAGCTGGCCTGGCCTACTTGGAAGTTCTAGGTCACCGAGAGACCCTGTCTCAAAAAACAAGTTGGATATCTGAGGTTATTCTTGCCTCCATGTGTACACATGTACCTGCGCACGCGCGCGCGCACACACACACACACACACACACACACACACACCAAACAGAAGCACCCCAGAACCCCCCCAAAGACCCATGATCTCCACATGTGCCTTAGGTCCCCAGGATCTTCTGGCCTCTGGGGTTCCAATGCTCTGCTTGGGACTGAGGCCATTTGGAGAGGTGTCTGGAGTCCCTGGGACAACACAGACAGACTGCAGCTCCAGGCCTGCAGCCCTCTGGAGCAGTAGGAATTCTCATTCCTGAATTAATTTCTCTGTTCTCTAAGGAACTGGCCCTAGGCTGGGATGTGGGCACTCTTGCTTTGGCCTCAGGGTCAAGAGGACAGAAGGACGAAGGCTGTTCCGGGAGTCTGAGAAGTAGGCCAACCCTGAGGCTGTGGTCTTGGTGGCCAGGGGCTGGGCAATGCTTGTTGGAAGCTATAGATTCTCACCTTCCTCAGCTTCTGAGAGGAGTAGTAGTTGAAACTCGTTCAAAAAGGTCAGCTTAGTTACCGGAGGGATGGGTTAGTAGTTAAGAGCACTGGCTGCTCTTCCAAAGAACTGGGGTTCAATTCCCAGCACCCATATAGCAGCTCACAACTGTCTGTAACTCCAGTTCCAGGGAACCCAAAACTCTCACACAGACATGCATGCTGGCAAAATGCCAGTGCTTGTAAAATAAAATTAAATAAATTATTCTTTTTGTTTGTTTGTTTGTCTTTTGAGACAGGGTTTCTCTGTGTTGCTTTGGAGCCAGTCCTGGAACTAGTTCTTGTAAACCAGGCTGGCCTTGAACTCACAGAGATTCTCCTGCCTCTGCCTCCCAAGTGCTGGGATGAAAGGTGTGTGCCACCACTGCCCAGCAAATAAATTATTCTTAAAAAGAGGGGGGTAGCTGAGATCAGAGGCTGTAGCTCAGTTGGTAGAGTGCCTGCCTAGCATGCACGAAGTCCTGGGCTCCATCCCCAGCACTGCACAATATATTTGTGGTGGGAGTGGCATGCCATTCTCATGTACAGAGGCAGGGTGATCAGAAGCCCATGACCATCTTTCACTAGACAGTAAACGTGGGCTCCATGAGACCCAGCCCCCAGGACCTTGTAGGACATACATAGTCAGTGTCTTAACCATCTCCCTGTACAGTTCAGGGACTGAGCACATGGGCACTGGTATAGAACCGCCATGATCATCCACTTCTAGAACTCTCTCTCTCTCTCTCTCTCTCTCTCTCTCTCTCTCTCTCTTTCTCTCTCTCTCCTTCTCTCTCTCTCTCTCTTTTTGCAAAACTGAAACCAGATACCCATTAAACACTAATTCCCCATTGTCTTCTCCTCCATAACCTGACACCCACCATTCTACTTTCTGTGTTTATGATTCTAAGTACTTTAGAAACTTCATATAAGAGAGACTGCACATTATCTCTCCTGCTGTGATGGCTGTGTGTGTGTGTCTGTGTGTGGAGACAGAACCCAGGGCCTAGCACGTTAGGCAAGCACACTACCACTGAGTTACATCCCAAGTCCTCACTAGGGCATTCTTCAAGTTCTTTTTTTTTTTTTCAAATTATGTTTTTATGTGTGCATTTGTGTGTGGCAATGTACATGTGAATGCAGGTGCCCTTAGAGGCCATAAGAGGGAGCCAAATCCCTTTGGACCTAGAGTTATGAAGGCAGTTGTGAGCCACCTGGTCTGGGTGCTAGGAACCAAATGTAGGTCCTCTGCAAGAGCAGTATGTGTTTTTAACTGCTGAGCTATCTCTCCTGCCCCTCGCTGGGGGATCTAGGCAGGTGTTCTACCACTGAGCCACACCCTAGCCCCTCACTGGGGATTCTAGGCAGGTGCTCTACCACTGAGCCACACCCCAGCCGCTCACTGTGGGATTCTAGGCAGGGGCTCTACCACTGAGCCACACCCCAGCCAGTGATTAGCTTCTTTCATTTGGCATCACATCCACACATAACTATGTCAGAATTGCCTTCCTTTCCAAGGTTATTAAATAACCTACTGTGTAGATATCACAGATATTTTTTAATAATTCATCAGTTTATTGTGTCTGTCTTTCCTTTGTTCTTTTGATACACAGTCTTACATAGCTTAGTCTGGTTTTAAACTTGCTATGTAGCTGCAGCTGTCTCTACTCCCAAGCTTCCTGCTTTCAGCTGCCCAGTCAGAACTCAGAAGATCCCAGGCCAGCACCACCACTGCCCACTCTCCAAGTCACCAGGTAATAAACACTTGGGTAGCGGCCACCCTTTGGTTGCTGTGAATGCTGCTAGGGGCCAGATATGGTGCTGCATGCCTATAATCTTAGCATTTGGAGGGGACCCTGCGCCTCTAACCAAAGAAACAAAAACAGAAACTTTCGTTTGCATATAAATCCAGGAACATGCTGGATCATGTGATCAGACTACTTGTGAGGCATTCCAAGCCGGTTTTTTCACATGTTGGACATTTTAGCACCGCGAGACACTCCCCACTGGCTTTCCAGTTTCCTCACCTTCGAAAGCTTGACTTTTTAAAGGAGCGTTCTTTTAAACCCCTTCAGAATTTCCCCACCTCAGGTATGAAGTTCAAGTCTGTTGCCACTCCCCACTTAAGTCACAGAGGTGATGTGTCATCGCCGCGTCCCTACTTCCAAGACCCCTCCTCAAACTGCTGCGTGGCCGAGGTTGGCTACAAACTTCTGGGTCTGCTACCATCGCTTTTCAAATGCAGGAATCTCGGCGTGCACCAGCACTCCCCGCTCATGCATTCATTTTCAGATGATGGCACTTAGGGAGCGCTCACCTTTTGATTGTTGTGAATAACAAAGCTATGAGCGCTCCCAGCGACTCCCCTACGGCGAGGCTTTGATCCCCGCTCGTTTCACAGGCAAGCTTGGGTCTGTTTCCCATTAAGAGGGAAACTCTTTTCTGGGTTTGACTCTTTTCTCAGTCCATACCTGAGGGGAGATCTGCCAGGGCGGGGGCCCGTGGCGCTGTCTCTCGCAAATAAGACAAGTCCGGATGCCCTTGCAGCCGCAAGCCTGCAATTGAGTCGCTTGAACCGCCGCAGCTTCGGCTGTTGTAGCCGCCATAGCGCCTTCCAAGTAGCCAAAGCGCAGGCGCGAGGCGCAGGGGCCGCTGGGAGTTGTAGTCCTCGCACGCGGAGGCAGGAGGCAGAGAGCGCGGCAGGCAGACGTTCTGCTTCCTTCCGGTCGCCATGGACTCTTAAGGGGTTGCTGCGCGCCATCTCCTGGGCTCCGTGGCTGTGTGCGTTAGTTACCGGCCTTAGTGGAGGCGCGGGTTCGGTTGAGCCCTCGGATATCTATGGCTCCCCTCACGCAGCAGCTGCTCTTTCAACGCGGGCGACCCAAGACCAACAGTCTGGGGAAGATCCGGAGTCTGGAGTAAGAGCTAGCGGTGTTGAAGCGGATCGGGGCGAGGGGTCCTGCGGGATTCTTCCCCCCGCCTCCCCACGGGTCGCCTGATGGGCGGAGTGCAAGGCTCAGATCCCTCCCCGTCCCTGCCTGTTGAGGTTATTCTGTTAATGGGGTTTTAGGTCCCCGTTAAGCCTGTGTTTCGCGCCCAACAGTGATGCGAGAGCGCTTGGTAACCCCAGCCCAGGGTCAGGTGGACCTGCCGCAAGCTCACTCAGCCCTGCGGAGGGTGGAAAGACAGTTAGCACTCACTGGGATGTTGAGGAAGTGAGTACCACAGAAGGAGCATGCAGGAAGGAGAAAAAGCATTCAAGGGGGAACTTGGAGGCCTTAGGTTCTAAAGTTGTTACGAGATCTAGCACTCAGGGCCCCGTGCGTTTGAAGTTAACCTGGGCTACGATTTGAGACCCTGTCTCAAAAACAAAACTTTTTTTTTCTTTTATCTTTTTTGTTTTTCGAGGCGGGGTCTTTCTGTGTAACGGTCCTGGTTGTCCTGAAACTCTTTGTGGACCAGGCTGGCCTCGAACTCACAACCTCCCAAGTGCTGGAGGGAAGTCGGGCCAGAGAAATGGCCCCTCTTGTAAAGGTGCCTTTCACCAAGCCTGTGGTCAATCCCTAAACCTGACCTCCTTACCTACACCTTGGACTGCGTCCATTCATACACACACATACCACACGCACATGCACACTATAATAAATAAAAATGTAATCTGAAAAGTGGGGGAGATGGGGGCTGGAGAGATGGCTCAGCAGTTTAAGAGAACTAGCCGCTCTTCCGGAGGTCTCGGGTTCAATTCCCAGCACCCACGTGGCAGCCCACAGTTGTCTGTAACTCCAGGTCCAGGGGATCCGACATCCTCACACAGAATATATACAGGCAAAACACAAGTATGCATTTAATAAATCTTTTTTAAAAAGTGGGGGAGGCTAGAGCTGCAATGGTAGAGCCCTTGTCGGATTAAGAGAAAGCTGGGGTCTCCATAGGCTTCCATCCCCACCTGAACAGATGCAGGTGGTGATAAAGGCGGGAGAGTACGTTCAAGACTTTCCTGGACTACACAGTGAGTTGTGGATCGGATGTCTTTGAGTTTTGAGGCCAGCCTAATATATGTAGTGAATTCCAGGCTAGTCAAGTCTAAAAAAATAAGCCCAGGCTTATTCTTATCCACAAGAGATTGCTTGGTGCACATCCCTTTAGGGTAGATGGGAGTAATTGGTGAAAGGGTCTGTCTGCCCAGCCTCCTGAGCTTTCCTTCCTCTCTGCCCTCCCCTCAGTCTCTCAGGACTGAAGCTGCAGTCAGAGCACTTGGACCCCAGTCTCCTGGGGCGTCTGAAGCAGTTGAGGGAACTTGACCTCTCTGACAACCTGCTGGAGACGCTGCCTGCCAACCTGGGCCTGTCTCAGCTGCGCATCCTTCGCTGTGCCAACAACCAACTGGGGGATGTCACTGCCTTGAGCCAGTTCCCGCACCTCGAGGAACTCAGCCTGGAAGGCAACCCCTTCCTGACGGTGAGCGGGGGTGGGGGGGATATATGGGGTCCATCTAGCTCAGTGCTAAGGACCAGGACTCTGGGGCAGACTCAGGCAAGACAGGGTCTCATGTAGCCCCGACTAGCTTCAAATTGTGTTGCCAAAGATGGCCTTGAGCTTCTGATCCTTCTGCCTCTGTGCTCCAGAGGTGGCCATGCTCCACCAGGCCTGGTTTATGCAGTACTAGGGATCAAGCTCAGGACTTTGAGCATGCTACGACAGCGATCCCTCAACGGGGCTGGGTACCCACCCTGTTTGGGGTTGTGTTGTTTTGCTAGTTTGAGACAAAGGTTTGCTTTATGACCCAGGCCAGCTTTCACTTCACTATGTATCCCAGACTGGCGTCCAACCTCGGAGCATCCCTGGTACATAGTCTCCCTGAATACTGGGATTACAGGCTCTCACCGCTACTCCTGCCTTTCAATTCTTCCTCCGCCCTTAGGTCAATGACAACCTGAAGGTCTCCTTTCTCCTGCCCAAGCTACGTAAGGTCAATGGCAAGGACGCAGCCTCCACCTGCTCACAGGTGGAGAACCTAGATCGGGAGCTGACCAACAGGGTAAGGATGGTGGGAAGCTGATGGAGATGGGTCCTTGGCCACGTCAGCAGATACTGAGGGGGAACAGAAGTGGATTTGTGTGTGTGTGGGGGTGTAACAAAGATCTTACCCTGACAGCTGCAGGTCTGGTGTGTTGAGTGGTTCTGTTGCTTCTCACGTTTGGAGGCCCTGTCTCCGAGGCGTACAGTCAGGAGGTAGAACTTTGCGGTCAGCTGGTTTTTTTGAGACGGGGTCTTACTGTATAGTCCAGATGGCCTAGTACTCTTCCACTTCAGCCTCCCAGGTGTTGGAATTACCAATCTGCCCAGGTGAACCAGGTTGGTTTCAACTCAAGTGACTTAGGTATTGCTTGTAGAGAATAAGAGGCTATGTTTGCAGAAGTTTCCAGAAACTGGTATGGTCAACACACCTTGTGCCCAGAAAGTGATAGGGTGGCGGTGCTGTGTGTGGCCAGGAGACCCAAGCTGGACTGGCCCTGGATCGGGTGGGTCCCTCTTCTGCCAGGTCACAGCTCACTGGGAGAAGTTCATGGCCACTGTGAGCCCTGAAGAGGAAGCTGCTGACAAACTTCAGGCTGACTTCGTGAGGTCTGCAGTCAGGGATGTGCACTATGGCCCTGAGTCTCTCAGCGAGTTCACGCAATGGCGGGTATGTCACTGGGGGACACTGTGCTGAGGGTTGGCTTCCCTGGTTCTTGGTTGTCCTGGGGACGTCCCTGACTCTGATGGATTGAGGGACAGTGGGGAGTGGGGTGGCTCAGGGAATGGTAGCCCTCTTCCTCCTTTGAGAGGCACAAGCTCCCTGGGACCAGATGTCTGAGGAGAGGCTAAGGGCACCAGAGACTGTGCTCGGCCTGCTGAAGGCCTGACCCCACCCAGGTGCGGATGATCGCTGAGAAACTGGTAACCTCAGGTGGGACCCAGGTACAGGAAGCCGACATACCAAAGGAACCTCCACAGGCCTCAGCTGCCTCCAAGCTCAGGGTGAGTATGTTTCCACACGGCTGTGAGGGCCACTGGATCTTCCTGAGCTGGAACAGAGGGAGGCCTCTGCGTGAGCTCAGGGAAGCCAGACCGCAGAGGGTCTCTGCGTGAGCTCCGGGGAGCCGGACCACAGAGAGTCTCTGCATGAGCTCAGGGGAGCCGGACCGCAGAGGGTCTCTGCGTGAGCTCAGGGGAGCCGGACCGCAGAGGGTCTCTGCGTGAGCTCAGG